GCACGGCAGTAGTAGCCGCCACTGTTGTAGGCACGGCAGTAGTAGCCGCCACTGTTGTAGGCACGGCAGTAGTAGTAGCCGCCACTGTTGTAGGCACGGCAGTAGTAGTAGCCGCCACTGTTGTAGGCACGGCAGTAGTAGCAGCCGCCACTGTTGTAGGCACGGCAGTAGTAGTAGCCGCCACTGTTGTAGGCACGGCAGTAGTAGTAGCCGCCACTGTTGTAGGCACGGCAGTAGTAGTAGCCGCCACTGTTGTAGGCACGGCAGTAGTAGTAGCCGCCACTGTTGTAGGCACGGCAGTAGTAGCAGCCGCCACTGTTGTAGGCACGGCAGTAGTAGCAGCCGCCACTGTTGTAGGCACGGCAGTAGTAGCCGCCACTGTTGTAGGCACGGCAGTCACTGTAGTTGACACGAACGTTACGGTTGTTGTGGTGGTTGTGGGGAAGTTACCACAGACTGATGGGCCGCAGAGCTGATCGCCATCCTGGCAAACAGCAACATGAAGCCACCATTTGCAGTACGATATCCTAGTGCCGAATAAGCCATCATTCAATGATCGACAGTACGCATCACAGTTGTCACTCGCGGCAGTGTGATCATCAGGAGGAGAAGCAGTCGTGGGAGGATCACCAGTTGGGCACTCTGACGGCCGACACCTCTGATCGCCACCCTGGCAGACAGGCTCCGGCTTCCACCACTTGCAGTATGAAGACGGCCCATTGAGATCAATGCAGAAGGCATCGCATGGTGCAGATCTGAATGGATGCCCCCCCGGCAGGAGTAGTTGGTTCCGTTGGTGGTGGCCAGGTCTGCGATTCACAGACGTTATGGTCACTGCAAGGTTGATCTCCAACTTGACACACAGGAACCGGTAACCACCACTTGCAGTAGGAGGCAGCGTCGTTGAGGCTTTTGCACATATCGTCGCAAGCCGGATTGGGGCCCGAAGGACCTACCGTGACCGAGGGTGTGCTGGATGAGGCCTGAAGCTGTCGGATATTGTACGAAGCCACGGTAGGGATGATTAGAGCTGCGCTGATAACGGTCATGCCGAGTGGGATAGTCAAGTCTGAAAGCAAGAAGATGACTATGGCATAATGAGCAGCCATAATTCGCATTGATCTTGAAGGGTGGACCACACAAGTCAATCAGAAGAGCTCATCTAGTAGCCTTCGAGTCGAAGGCTTTAACTACCTGCAATTCAATTCGCTTCGGAAGGCGGGAAATCTTAGGGATATTTGGAAACGGTTCGATTCTAGGAGAGTATCTTCGCGCATCGCAAAGAGAACACACCTGCGAGATATTCCGAGTCCGATGATTGTTGGGGCCGCATTCGGATCATCTAATAGTATCATTTATCACTGTTGCTCATCATGTATCATAGCACAGCAATTTAAGATAACCACTCTGGGCATGCAAGTTGTAGTGGGTGGGTCACTCCAGCGACTCGCTAGAGTCGAGTCACTAGTAGCGACGATGAACACGAGTCCCAAACTAGCGTACCATAATAGAAGGATGCCTTCAGAAGGTGTATACTATTTCCATATGGACAGCCTTGAGTACTCTGCCGATGCCTCAATGTTAATGGACTCCTCGGATCTTGGTTGGCCGATTACTACTTAGACTATACAGGAAAGCCGTTGCCCAAAATGAGATTCAAAAGGAGGTTCCTATGAATCAAGCTCAATATTGGGATAATCCAAATTGGATTCAATGTTCTGCAGTAGAGAATCTCTACGTTGCTCCCACTTCATTCCTAACTCGTGGCGAATCATTCGTATGATTGTGGATGCGCACGAAAAGGATACTTGCGATTATGAACCGATCCTTCCACGGATCTTGCCGCGGAAAAAAAATTCGAGCGATCTCTCGGTCCGCTCGAGCTCTTCCCGAACTCTACAATTAATACAACTGTTGGTACTCGCAAAGGAGACTGCGAACAGTTCATGAAGTGCTCATAGGGGACATGAGTATTCGGCTGCATATGTCAAGTTGTTATCCATCTGATGCGAAGTCCTTGCATCATAGCTGCTGGGCTCGCACTGGTAGTGCATCACATCCAAGGGACTGCTAACAAGGCGTCTACCAAAGGATCATTCCTCACCAGATGGGCTCGACGGTCCCTGAGGAAACTGACAGGGAGGAAAGAGAAACCTGAAAAAGTAAGAAAGAACTGAGAGAGATTGCGTTACAAGAAGCGGGCCATTTTCTCAAATCTTAGGTGGAAAAGCCTGCGGATCCTGATCCGGCAAGCGCTGTAAGATCTTTCGAGAGTGTCGCTCTTGGACGATCCTTTTCAGGAAATGGATTGGTTCCTTGCCAGGATGCCAGAGAACACGGTGTGATTAACTCATCTAGTAGTCACATACTATGGTGGATCTTATAGGTCTTGACGGAGGGAAGGAAACAAGGGCCTCGTCTCGTGGTAGGATGCCCTAGCCCATTTTTTGCACTCATCAGTCGTATCAGGAGTCTTGCTCACTCTCTTACATATTCTCGGCGAAAGGAGACCGCATGGCCGGTGGTGATGTAAGAAGCTTTCTAGTAGCTCGCATTGTGAAAGCATGAGCTATCAGGGAGGCATCGTGGTCGGTGCTAATGTTTGGTTACCTGAATCGGAGCCTTCGAAGAGAGAATGCACTCTTGATTATCTTTATGAATGGGACAATGAGTGAGTAACTTCCCTATTATCTCTACCATAATTGCATCACTTTTCAGACTACGAGGTTTGAATCGTATGCGAGCCCTCCTTAATGTTCGCAGTATTATTTCCATCACCCAAGTACTTGGGGAAGGGCTCACCTGCACTCAGCGACTTCAGAGATACGGCAAACTAGGCTTGATGTCATCCCGACGACAAGGAAATGATTCGAATTTCGAAAGCGACTTGCTCTCCGATCTCACGAGTGCCTTGAGGGGTTCATCATCCAATGAGAAAGGCAACGGCAATTTAGCTAGCCACGTGGCAGAGATCAAAGATCAAGCTCTTGAGGGAAATCTACAAGAGGTCGATTTGATGCAACAAGCTCCTGTGTTCGTTCGAGAATATGTAAATTCTATTCTCAAGTTTGTGAGACTAAAGACATGCCCACCAGTTACTGCAGTAAGAGCCAGACTCGTTGCTAGATAGTTATTGTTCGTGCATTTCTACCTCTTCAGCGAATTGGAAATGAGGTTGTCACTGTAACCCTCCGCGTTACATCATCCGGGAAGCTAGAACTACACGAGATCGAGACAATAGGCTCACGGTGAGTAGCTCGATTGGGTAGGGTTCTTCATGTACCTGCTAATGCGCCTCATCACTTCAATGATTTAATTTAGATCCTGGAGTATTGATGATTTCTCTAAGGCAACTGCCGACCTACTGTACGGGATTCAGAAGAGGGCTAGGCAGATCACTACTGATAATCCGATGGAATCATGTGAGCAACAACTATTTAAGTTCGGTAAGGCTATCGAGAAACACTGCGAATCGAATAATGATAATGCGAAGCCGGCACTGGGTGATGCACTAAATGTAAGTGACGCAAAAGAGAAGAGTTCACAACTGGAGAAAGCCGTGACACAGATCTATCAGTTCTTAATGGGTGCATGCTAACTCCCCGTTGTATTGAAACCCAAAGATGTGTAGCTGTTGTACTGGAATCCTACTCAATTGAGTTCGTTAACACACTGAGCGGCCGACTTGGCGGTTGTTGGCCTTCAGGATGTGGGAAGGACTGGGACATAGTATCGATAATTGTGTTGGTTCATCAGCAGACGGTGACCATTCGAATTCTCCATGGGGTGCTTCCTCATCATTTAATCTCATTCTGCTTGATGGGAGATCGTCGACTCATCTTTCCGGAGACCGCAGGTTCGATTCCTCGTCGTCAAATGTCGCTAGACAGTTGTTGATTTGACCTCCTTCGTTCGATCGGAATTCAATGCTATGGGAGGCTTAGAGCTATCCATTCATATAGCAGTAGTTGTCAGCTCTAATAGCCACGAGAAATATGAATGTCAGAAATTATTGCTATTTTTAGAACCGTCATTTGAACAGACTTGACAGATCTTTCCTAATGCGGAGTATTCTTACTCTTGCACTTCCCCTCGCTGTGTATGGTGCTATGGGCCAAACGCACTCTGTAGGAAGACACAACAGGAAGTTATCTGAACCGCTGAGATGGTTACGGAAAGTGTTCCGTCGAGCCAGGGGCCAGTTGAAAGGAGTGAGGCACAGACCCCCGAGTCGGGCTGAGGGAGGAAGCTTATCTGAGGTACGTACAAGAACAATTCAAGTACGGCAGAAACCTAATCAAATCGGTTTTTCTCCACCCCTAGTGTATTTCACTTTGATGTTATTTTATTCAGGTAAAGGAGTTCGCCGGAGACAGAAGCTCAGAGCTAGTAAGATGGTATGCGCACATTCTCCTCGGCAACACACCAGAGTCGTCCGTTCATCGATCATTCTGTGTCTACTGCTTGAAATCGAACCTCAATAACTTCAGGTTGAGTACCCATATGAAGACTTTGAGGATGAGCATCCATCTTCTGTATCAGAGGTAAGGGCTAGCAGTAGTGGCTTCCACTCGAAGGATTCCTCCCTTACCGATCAAGTGCTGTTGAAGCCAGTGTGGTGAGGGATAGTAGGAACGTCTTTTTCTCAGATTGAGTTCGATAAAGAGGAGAATGTTGAAAAGCATCTAGCGGTAGGTTAGAGCCCCTCTCCTTGTATCGTCCAGCCGTTGAGGTATTCCATTATCAGGAATCGTGCTCGCTCTCCTACTTGTCGCCTTCTAACAATGGCAGCGTTGTAAGTGGGGAAATTTTCGATTGCTTATCTTGGCGATGGATATGAGCTTCATTTTCCGATTCTTTCCTGCGCATTATGCGCAATAACATTCCCGGGGAATGCTATTACTGTAAAAGTCATAGACAACTTTTACAGTACACTGTTTGAATGGTAGGTTTTACTTGTTCTTTTCTACTTGTAAGCTGATAAGATCTTCTCCAATGAATAAAATGCGACGGTGAATGTATAGTTGAGGACATCTTGTATTCTGGCACTTCTGGCTAGAACATTACTCTGCCCATTAGGCTGGCATCGTAACTTCTGCCAATGTTTGGGCACTCGATACCGTCCCTCGCTCAAGCAAGTGCGAATTGGACTACCTCTATTCCTGGAACAATGAGTGAGATGAATACCGTGACAGAACGCGTTGATCTTGACGGTGTCCTGGTAGAATACCAGGATTCACTCGAATGAATGTCATTTTCAACATTCATGATATTATCCACTACACGCAGACCCTCGAGTCTGACGTTGAGTGTAGAGAACGTCTTAGATTATGGAGCTATGCGGGACTATTTAATACTCGGCAAGGGAGGTACGGACAGTCGATACCCATAATTACGATGATCTCACCTCCACTTATAGGAATCAGCGACAATCAGGCCTGATGGACCATGTGGCCCATGTATGGGGAGATGCGATATCAGCCCGTGAGCACGTTTCTACTGATGTTGCTGATATTCTGAAGAATGCCCGGCTGAAAAATATTGCTTACGCTCCTTTGGAGAAGGTTCCAATTTTCATACGCGAGTACGTCCTCGATAAGGCGTTGTTGGCGGACACGTGCGTAGCAGCTACCATAGTAAGGTGTCTGATACCTTACAGCTTGTCTATGAGCTCGCTCTACCTCTTCAGTCAATTAAGAATGAGGTTGTCACTGTAACCCTCCGCGTTGCATCATCCGGTAAGCTAGAACTACACGAGATCGAGACAATAGGCTCACGGTGAGTAGCTCGATTGGGTAGCGTTCTTCATGTAGCTGCTAATGTCCCTCATCACTTCAATGGATCAATTTAGATCCTGGAGTATTGATGATTTCTCTAAGGCAACTGCCGACCTACTGTACGAGATACAGAAGAGGGCTAGACAGATCACTGATGCAAATCAAACGAGGTTGTGTGAGAGTCAGCTGTATGAGTATGCTAAAGTTATCGAGGAGCGTGACAGGAAAGAAGGGAGAATGTGGACACCGAAATTGAAGGGAACTCTCAGTGTGGACGATAAGGATAAAAGAGGACAGCAACTAGCACTAGCAAGATTTATATTTTCTACCACTCTTCCATGGCTTAAAGGGACATCGGTGTGAACCTCATTCGTAGTAGATGTTCAAACGTTGTAACGCATGTGCAGTGTTCGAGCAACTTCCTCTTGAGTTGTTCATTCCTGGGAATTTTTCTGGGAGGAGTGTAACACGTTGAGAGGGAATTCCAGGATCTCGGATGACTCCTTGATCCCGCACATTCCTAGTGGGAAGGGGCGGGCGATGTTAACTTTGATCAAAAGAACGTTTCCACCAAGTTTCCATCAGTTCTTCGACTATCTGATTATGCGACGCCTTTTCACCATCTTCGTTGTATTCGCACTCAACCTTTTTGGGGGCGATTCGGCCGCTGCATCGGATGAGAAGGAGTTGGGCAAAATTTCAGCGAGAAAGAGAGGAAAATCGGCCAGTGGTTTGGGCAATATTCTGAGGAGATTGTCCAAGAAAAGGCCGCAAGAGAGAACGCGAAAAAGTGAGATGTGCTCGGAACATACGAGAAAAACATTTTCCTTCTAGGGGGCCAATGGCCCCGGGCCACTGTGAGCAAATGTAGATGCATCGTTGTATTCGCAATCGTCGAAAATGCTTCCAGTCATATGCTACGATGTCCAAGGGAGAACGGAGTTTCACCCGTGATATGAGAAACACCAATGGAAGACACATTTCACAATTCACTTCGCAGAAAACAATTGTGTTATCGGTCGCGGAAACATATACGTCCTATACTTTATATTGAGTATAACGCCACTTCATATTATTAGTGGAACTCCATTATTAAGATCCGCCTTTGCGGCCCATTCACTCATTGAAAGAGAATTTAGATCAAATTCTCATATCTCCTCAATGTTGTGGATACATTCTCCTGAATAGACACCCCTTCGAGTCCAGCCCGAGATAAGTGTTCCCCTTACTGTTTCCGAAACGTTGAAGGTGAGACGCAGCTGCGACTTCCTGTGAACAACAAGTGTCTCAGGATGATGACAAGGAGGAGAAAAGTGCAGAATATCTCGTCTCGGTAACGTTCACTTCACGGCTATTGTGTATACGCTTTTCGGTGTTATCAGGATAAGTGCTCGCTCAAATCCATCTACGCTCAATCTGGTGCACCGGGCTCTGGTCCCGTGCCTTGTGTGAGCAACTTGTCATGCTTCCGGTGTGAATCTTGCGTATTTAGGGAGGTTTTATTGTTAACGCAAGGGAGCTTAGCAGTGGCGCGTCAAGACATACTGTTTTGAGCTCACTCTATGCTTGGGAGAACAAGTAAGCACTGCATTAGCCCGATGCTGATTTCTCCTCTCGGCTCACTCGTGTCGCATGGGGAGTTTTCAGGTACAGTGGCCTCAGTCTGAAACGAATGAATATCATTATAGATGTCGCTGATATCATGCCCAGGAGACCCGATATGAAGGACGGCAGCGCGTGCGACGATGAAATCCAACTCTTCGGCACAGATGCACACATTCACGCTCGAAAGTCTCGAGTGGATTTTGGGTCTATCTTGCGCGGAGAGGATCTTCTAGCTGATCTCGCGGGTGCAGGAGGTGTGAGCGACGAGGTCGCATCTGCACAAAAAAAGGCAATAGAAGATAGTGAGCTAAGGTTGGATCCAACACTCGCCCCTTCCTACCTCTGGGGAGCGGTGCATCAGCGAGTACAGGAACTGGAGGTGGATAACAGCTACTACATGTGCCCACCTGTCACCGCTGTAGGACTGTCCCCACTGGGTCATTCCTGACGATATTTGCTCTTATTTTCCTTGGTTTTTAGACTATCGATGACAAGACGGTGACCTTCACGCTCGCTGCTAGGAAGCCGGATGGTAAACTCAAGTTTCACAAGGCTGAGATCACCAGATCAAGGTAAGCACTCCCGAAACAGAGACTCCCAGCGTAGGGCGGATGATGAGGGGAAGTCGGCATTAAGTTGGCCCGAGTCGTCCTACGTTGGCGACTGAGACGTAGTCCGTATTATAGTGTTGCCGAAAAGCACTGGTGAATGTAAGCCATTCGTTGTCAGTGATTGGACTGGTGATGAAGTAGAGGAGTCGATACTGGACAAGCTGCATGAGCTCGAGAAGAGAACCGCACAGGTAGAGGGAGCTCACGGGAAAGCCGCCTGTGAAGAACAACTCATCGAGTATGGCAATAATATAAAGGATGGTAAACAACTCACAGAATCGCACGAGAAGAAACTATCGGATGGTGACGTGGCTGAGAGTCCCCTGGGCAAGGCAGTTCTCTCGATCTATCTCGCTTTCTTCGATTAAGTATATGGAATGCGAGTTACCATGTGATGCTTATTTTGATCAAAACGCTGGCTTGTCGGCCTTCACATGATGTATAAGATGTGAGGTGTTCGAGGTGCTCCCGAGTTGAGTTCAAGACCGCCGGGTCGTCACCATCCTCGGGACGGCGTCCTGGAAGAGGTTGATGTATTTTCATAGTGAAGCCGTCAGCTGTCCGAGACTTTGAGTGCATTTCCATATGCCAATTATTTTGTAGTCGTTGGTTGACTAGTAGAAGGAGACACTCAAGTTAACGAGGCCCATGCTGTATGAAAATCATAGGTCACTCAGTTGAGCAAAGTTCTCAACTCTTGAACCGTTCTGAATACGATCACCAAATCTTCCGGGCGCCACTGTATTTCGTTGTATGCCTTCAATACTGTCAATATCGCCATAAAGCGAATCCATTGAAAACTACCAGCGTTGATGTTCCTCCTGCTGGGACAGTGTTCCTGCGGCAGTAAAATCATTATCGCAATTCTACTGTCGAACATCATTGTCTACGTTCATGCCCTCGTCATAACAAGATTGAAAACCGGAGCCATCACTACCAGCTCGTACAATGTCATTGAGTTGATCAGCGAATATATTAGGATCCTTCGTGAGGCGATAAGGAGAGCACCGTCAGTACACAAGGCTTCGGAACTCCGTTAAGTACAACGACGCTATGGATGAGACTCTATTATTGTACCAGATCCCTAGGATTTCATCAAGTCATTCGAGACAATTTCAACTTGTGTGATGCTCATGCCGCTCGATACTATCAAGCCGCATCACACACGGAGTCTGCCGAGAGTTCGCTCCAACCATCGTTTCTCGATGCTGAACGAAAGAGTCGACTACGCAGAATCCCGGATAGCTATGGTTTCTTCAGTTGACCGGACTTGCCTGGGGCTCACGACGTCCGTCGACGCATGTGGCTAGCAGGAATGGTCGCTTTGGTGTCTCATTGAAGCTCACCGCAATGTTGTCAACGGGATGCAACATACTCACTCCGGGTGGCATGGTAAACAGGACAGTGGACCGTGAATACGCCTTCCGCTCTAAAGACTAAACTCGAACCGGACGCCGCCAAATCACAGAGATGAGGGCGCTCGAGGTCGTCCTCCATAGATGGGCCTACGAGTGATCAGATCAGTATCAGCCGAGTGATACAACCTGGGAGAGGAGGGTGGGGAGATGATAAAATCCAGCATGCAACTGCGAAGCGGGAAGTACACACACAAGAAGAGCAACTCTCTACGGGCTGCCACGACCCTCCTGGATGTTGCTAGCGCTCGTATGTTTCGCAATACTGTAACTGAGCTGCTTCGACGACGATACGAGTATCTGCGCTCTCGGTCTTGTTTGTGGCACACAAACTTTGTGTGGTTGTGTCCCCACTGGCGACGCGTACTCAGGGTCTGAGCAAGACCCGATTACTCCGTAATTATCACAGATTGATGTTTTGTCACCGCGTATGATGCATTAGAGTTCAGTTCAGACTGGGATCGATTTGAGAAAAACATCCTGTGGTTGAATAGTAGTGTCACGAAAATCAGTGTACAATTTTTTGACCGTGGTTCGATTCGATCCGCGCACGTGTCATTTTTTGGACTTACGAATTCTTGAATGTCCTGTCTTTTACTGTAGTCATTGTAATGAGAGTTCTACACACGTGGAAATTCCCCCGGTGACCAGATGCTTTATGACCAGTGAATTCTTGAAAGCGGGGCTCTGAGTTCTATAAAAAAATCACTCAGGGCTCACCAAACGGGATTCTCACTGAGGGTCATCAAGATCAGGGGCCCTACAGAGGGGCCATGTGCAACTGTTATGCCCTCAAGTTGTCCCAGAAGCGGGTAGTCAGGGTAAGCATAGGTGAGCATGTGGAGTAGGCCTGCAAGCATTGTCATTATATCACAATCACACAACAGTGGTTATACATAATGAGATGGTGAGTACGTTGCATTCACACATTCATGGCGAAACATCATGGCGTTATCCACAGCTACAGGTGCCTTGGTGTACTTTACCAAGCTATTATCCTCGATTTCTCACTCACGTCCTCTCTTACAAATGCCCCAAAGTAACTGTTTACACTAGTACTGGCATCAATACTCAACCTATGAGGGTCGTCGTTATTGGCCATTGAAATCCTTTAGTAGTATTCCCATATGTCGTCCAAGCGGAAACAAGGAAAGGCGACTGAGAGCAGCCATTCTGAAGCGGCCTCGTCCTCATCTCGGAAAACTCCATCTCGGCGGCTATCTCCGGAGGAGCGAGATATGAAGGAGGCTTTCAGTGACTGTGTTGATGTAGTATTTTGGGATGGCATTCATCAACTACAGTACGAGATCGTTGTGAATAGGTATGGAACTTTAGAACCCCTACGCTGGGGTATTGCTTTTCCTCGCTGACCGGCAAGTTGTATTCCCTCACTTTGCCACAAGTACTCATGCACGAGTATGACAACCTCGCGTCTGAAGGGAAGCTAATTTGGTCGTTGGCCCATCCTTGCGAGATCGGACCGAACGTCCCTCGACCCCCCGAGGAGTTGTTGACCACAGGCGGACCTGAGTTGTATCTTTCCTTCAAACCCCCTCCTCCCGATGCTCAGCAGATTGTATCAATCAATAAGGCCGTGGACGAGACTGTTGCTAATTTGAAGCTTTCACAGAGAGTGGAAAAGTCCTTTCGGGATTTGCCCATTTTGGGCAAGCTCTGGGTGCTTCAACACTTTACTCCCGAAGCTGGCAAAGACGAGAATGATCAGATGAGGAGTTTTCTCGACGCACTGGATGCCCCTTGGGATCACACAGAGCAAATCTTGAGAGTTGATACGGTCGGCGGGGTCCTTGGACGCCATATACCCGACCTCAGTGCCTTTCCTGATATCCATGCGACCAAGCAGTGTCGAATCGGGTGGAGCAAAAAGCAACATTGTTTTCAAATACAAGCGCTACATGGGTTGGTCATTGTGGACGGTAGAGAGCTGGACCGAGGGGAGAAGGTTGATATCAAAAAGCGTGGGCAAATTCAGTTGGGTCGGAGGTGTTTTATGAAGTGCGATGTGCGTAATGGGAGTTCACCTGAGGAGGAGAGTGAGGGCGCCGCTGTGGCCCAGCCGGTAGTGGAGGCCAGCGGAGGCGGTGCATTTGGACTGCATAGTAACTATGCAAGAAGGAAAATGTTTGGCAAAACTGAAGATGAGCTAATCGGTGATAGAGCACGAGCGGAGCGGTATCAGGTAGTATGGCTGGGGTCTCTGTGAAGCGAAGGGCATACTATTCTTATATGGCTCCCTACCAGGATCGATCGGCATTGCTACGTGAGCGGAAGAGGCGGATAGAGGGTCTCAGTGGATGGAAGGAGGGCTTGAGAGAGGCCAAGCTGAGGAAGGAGGAAAGGGAGTTGGAACGCTTAGAAGTCACGGAGGAGACTGAGGCGATGAGGGAGTCTAGGAATCTCAACATGAGTACGATCGGAGACCGTGGGTTCAATCCTTGGTGGCCGCATCTTCTTTTGTCAGATGTAGATGGTTCCTATGGCGGTGCAGAAGCCGAGGCGGCACGTCCTGGCTTGGGCTATTCGGGGTCCTCAGGGCCGGCACCTCGGTCTCTGTTAGAGAAGAGGATGATGGAAGTCGCATCGGGGGCTAGCAAGCCCAGTGTTACTGCGAGCAATCCTTTCCGGATGTCATTCGTCAAGAGTTCGACAGTCCTCAACGATCCTTCGAAAAATGCTGATGAGGAGGAAGAAGTCGATATGTTCGGGTAGCTTAAGCGAGGTAGTTACGTACAATTCCTAATAGTATTATTATTGACCTCATGCACTGTTGTGTTGGGGGAACAGTTAGTGCGGTCTCCGCTTGAATTGACTTAATATCGGGTTCATGCTTATATCCATCCATCATACTGGATTTTTGGAATTCCAGCCGGTCCGGGCTTGATAGCATATATTCATGGTATCAGTACGGCCCAGCTGGGGGATACATAGGAAGACGGTATAGTGTCGTGCATGTTGTTGGGTATCTTAGCGACATTTCAAATGGGCTTTTGTCTTGACTGAGATGCCTCGGAAATATGGCGAATCGCCTATAATACAGTTGAAGTGGTGGTATATAAAATGGTGATCGCCCCAACTGGGGTATCCAATTGATGACGAGGTCAATTCATTGGCAAGTTCAAAGTTTGGCCGAAATTAGACAAGAATATGAGGACGATACCTGAGTGTTTAGCAGTTCTATCAAGTTGACGAGGGCCTCTGTGCGGTCTCGGGAAGTCGATCCCTATTCTCTCGATTTACGTCTTATCATACATCAGCTCCTGCGAACTGCGTACGACGATGTTT